TTTGCTGCTCGGATGAAGATGGAAATGGGGAAAGGTTGCAAATGATCAAGATCCCAATGCAACGCCAATCAATTCAATTTAAGGGAACGTGCATGTGCGAGTGATACTTCCATTGCTTCCGTGCCATTGTGTTCGAAGTGGGTGTACCCATGAAATTTGGGTGAAGGTGGATGAAATTGTGTGGTAGAGCGAAGGGTGGATTGGAAGATCATGGTAGAAAATTTAATTTGAATTTCCCAAAGCAGGAGATTGTGTTTCAGATTTAAGGGGAAATCCACGGATTATCAGTTCTCGAGGGGGGTTTTGGAGAATTGGCATATTGACATTTAAACGGATATGATACCGAATCGGGCGAAATCCAATTGATAAGCAAGGGGTGAACCAATCGTATTTTCGGATGCATCGAGGGAAATGAAGATATACAAGGATGTCTCGACGGAAATCATTTGCCGCTCGCTCCATCCATTCCCATTCATTCCATCGCAAGAGGATCAATTCAAGTTCGCTGACTGCTCGGTGCTGAGTTTGCTGATTTCGCTGCTGTCTGTTTGTCGGTCGGTCGGTCGGTCTGTCTCTCATGAACCTCTTGACGAGATCCATTCTCCATATCGGAAAACAGTTTGATTGCCAAGTACTCCGTATACTCGAAATAGATCTCCTTAGATTACATCTTATATCTACCTGGGAATCCTTTTGCAGCTTTCGACACTGATTTCATGATGAGAAGAAATTGATGACGCTGCAAGAACATACTTAGCTAGTCCACGGGTAGATACTAGATAGGAATGACGATAGAACTTTGATATGGAACCTGTCCTCTGGAGGCGCATAAGATGATATAGAGTTGAAAACGTCTGATCTTCCTTCCTTGGCATTTGGTGCGGCATACTGCATGTAGGTAGGTAGTTAAGTATCTGTGAAACTCCACTTGAGAAAAAAAATATACCTGGCTCCTGGATTCTTACCGAGTACAAGAATCAAGATCCTCATATACATAAAGCCATTTGGCTTCCTTATTTATTTGTCTTTCTCGTATTTTACCCACGCTGGATAGGAATTGATGGGTCCCATTTGTCAAATACCTCTTGTCTCTCTCGATCAGAGATATCATGTGTTCGATCAAGAACAGATTTATTATCTGTGGGCGGTCTACATATTGAATCGTGAAGTTTATATCATTCCCTTACCAGTCTTTACCGGTACCAGAACCATACCCGTCGGTTCTCTCCCTAGACACCGTTGCGAAACATTTGATTAGCAGCCTCTGGTCATTTACGAAATGTTGAGTCAATTAGAGTTACTCGGCGTCATCTCTAGGTTATGAACCCTCGATCATGATTCATGAATCTCCTTATCCTTCCACATTTCATCCTCCACATTCCACATTCCATCTTCCATCTTATTATACATCCAAGCCTCTTCTTCCGTTCCTATCTGTACCTGCATTTGCAATTTGCCAAGTGGACAGCGTCTAGTAGTCTACGGATTATGGAGCAGCACGTCCAACCCCTACTAGAGCCCCTATACTTCTTGACATGTAATACATCCACAATGGAAACCACAAATTCTTGACAAACGGGACTCATTCATATGTGGAAAGCGTATTTTGATGATACGGTACCGGTAGGTTCACGTTGAAAGCCTTCCATTGGATTAATAACTTCGTACAGATTGATACCTAAGGCATTCATTCACATTCTACTGCCAGTTAGGTATGTGGCGTCAAGAACCGCTGTTGAGCTAACCAGCATCTAGCCTAAAAGGGAAAAGATATACGTAAACGTTCACTTCCAAGGTTATACTCACTACTCACATGATTTAAACGCTTGTATCAACAGGTCACTCTTTTTTCATAGATGCATATTTACATCTTCCAAGGTTCTGATAGATTAGTGGCCAACTGCACCTCAATTTATTGGTATGAGGAGGAGCACTCAGAACCCCCAACCGCATATTAACCATCGTTATCTCTAAACTTCTCCCGCTGCACGCTCTCACCCACCTACACACAGGATGCTCCATACGCATTCGGGATATTGTGATCTTCTCAGAATTTTTTAACTTCGATGCGCAATCACAGCACTCAGACAAAATCGAGAAACCCCATCTTACACTGTATCACATCTCCGAATCGTGATATGACGATTCTTATCACATTGAAGTGCAAGCTAGCTGAGCGGTGAAGTTGGCGCTCAGCCAGCCACAAAATCTCTCATCCCATTCCACATACGCCTTAAGATTCCTCTCAACAGTTTTAACACGAATGCTCATGCATATAGCTCAACTGCAGGAGGATTTTCTTTGAGGATAATTGATCACGACCACCATCATGAGAGCAACTGCATCCTTAATCCATTGGGTACTCTGATCGGCAGTGCAGCTCCAATATACAGCTGAGCCTTAGCTGAGGAAAATGCAGTGACTTCCAAAAGGATGAGCTCGTTCCACTAGTCTTGTGAACGTTGACAGTACAAAAGAGCTTGATTCGGTGCAAGAACTCTGATGACACACAAAATTGACGTACCCCGCACCATTGTTACTTCAATAGTATATTCCCCTCACTCCCTGTTTCACGGTGATACTTCTGTTGTTACTCTGCAACACGATGCAAGAAATGTATCAGCTGTAATTGGACAGCAATGAGTGATATTGGGTTCATGGATAATCTGCCTGGCTTGTTTCATTTTGCAGACATCGAATTCACGACTCAGCATATCGTAGTGAAGACAGTGTCTCATTTTGATCATGCACACTGCTGTGTATTATATCGCACCCACAATTCATTGAGACATCGCATACACAAGTCATGGGCGACGCTGCTTTGCAAAGAAGTCCTTGTGGAGAGCTGAGCTGCAGAGCGCTTCTTTCATCATATCAACATCAGATGTATAGCAAGATCGACATTCTCAGACTTACAAAAAAGTATAATAAGTGCTTAATTCTCCTCCTGTCATCGATTTTTCACCACATCCCATATACTAAGCTTTGAAAACATCTTTTTGATTCATCTATTACCTCCACAAACCAACATGGCGAACGCAACAAAAGACTATGGTGACCTCAGAGTCACTATGACCTCAGCATTTGACTGGGTATGGAGCGATAAGGGCAGTGGAGCTTCGAGGGACTTTGAAGCCTACCACCCCAAAGCTCAGGGAAATTTGCGTCCTCTAGGATCTGTTGGGTTTTCTTCATATGGTGACAGGAATGGCAGCATTGCTGTTCTCCTTGTTGGCAAAAACCCAAGTTCTACAGGTACAGCAGCAGTCGCTAGTCCTACCGGCTATGATTTGATTTGGCGTGACGAGAAAAGCGGGGGTAATTACGACGGATCTTTCTGGAGGCCTAGAGCACCCAGTGGGTACGTCTCACTTGGAGATGTATGTTCAGGATCTTGGAGTGCCCCTAGCACTGACAAGATTTGGTGTGTTCGTTCTGATCTGGTTCAAACCTCGAATTACTTCAGAGCCAAGGTTTGGGATGATCGAAACTCAGGAGCTAAAACCGATTGTTCTGTGTGGGAAATTGGACTCCCTTCTATGGGCGTGAATGGGGGAGAAAAAATCCCGATCTCATCCGAGACTTTCCGCGCGAACAGCAGCTGGTCTGAGCCCAACAATAGCCTCGCACAAGTTCTCGCCCTACCCAACCCCAAAAAATTCACAGAATTCACTGCTCCCCCACCATCTTTCACGAAAAACAATATCCCGAGAGGTGGCGATGTATTCAACCGCATTGATCAATGCCAAGTCACACTTCCTTTCAGCATCTATTTCCCCCCCACAGACGCAGCAAGCCTTAGAACCATCAGCTACCCATTCTGCAGTCTCACTAGAAAAATAGCTTGGTATGTCCACACGGCGCACACCAATAACGGCGGAGGACAGATTTCCGACTCCACCACAGTTACAAAAGGTGTCAGCAAGACGCTTGCAGAGGAGATGACACACTCCGCAGGAGTTTCCATCTCTGCCTCGTACGGTATCAAGGGTTTCGGCATGGATGTCAGTCTCAACTATCAATTTACATCGACCACTTCCTCCTCCTTCACCGAGTATGAGGAGACTACGCGCACGCAGGGGTATACTGTTCCACCATATGAAGCCACCATTTTCCTCAGCAAGCGGATTTGGATTCAGGCCACTCGCTCAGATGGATCTATCGTTCTCAGAGAGATCAACTTCAACGCCAACGACGACATCCATCTTATCGGGGTCCCTCTTAAGTAGATGATGATATGGTTGTTTCTTAGGTTGAGGTATTAGTACCTTCGTTTATTGTTACGATCTACAAGGCCTGACTGAAGCTTTGGCAGGAAGAGAGTCATGTGACTAATTACGATCATTATTTGGAATTACTGGTACTGTTGATCAATAAATAAGCTCTGTATGGACAAGTTACATTTCACTCGTCATATCTATTGATTCGATTAGTGTTTCTTATGTCTATCAATCAGTCCCTATCTGAAATTTGCCACTACCGATGTGATTTGTATTCCTTGCTTTATTTTGCGCCATCTGTTGTGGCTTGCACTTGACCTACAGACCGCTGCGATCACGACTACTCGGTCTTACCAATATATATACATTCATAGGAGCAATTTAGCCTTGTAGGCGTCTTCGATTTGAACAGAAAAAAAGAATCAGTACTTCTACATTTTTGTACAGTGAAACTTAAGGAAACGTCTAATGTACAAGCTCTGCCTGGGGTTCCCTCAGATATATCTTGACCCATACCAAGATTCATCTCGCCTAGGTAATTAATAGCAAGAGCAAAAGAAGTTTAGAGCGCTAACTTCTTTCTTGTAGCTCAGAGGTCCCTCTCTCGACATGAGCGTCAAAATCCTCCAGGAGATATTCCCGGAGAGTCCAGCTCCTTCTGCGTATGGTTGAAGGCGTTAGTGATTCTCTCTATAATCGCTGTCCTCTATCCTCTTCCGCGAATTGCCGCTTTATTATATACTCGTTCTTCATTTCCAAAGCATGGTCTGAAATACCAGTTCATACCGCCGGCTTTCCTTCCTCCCCACCCAGCTTATTTTTCCATGTTCCCGCATAATGATGGGTTACCAAAACCGGCCCTTGATCCTTTGGAAAGTTGCTCTGACTCGCAGCAAACGCATTTCCCGGCAATATCAGCACATCGTGAACGAGCTTCGCACTTCTCAGTCCTGTGATATCCCGGTCGTCGAGCTCCCTTCCAAGGATCCGATTCAAACTCTTCACAATGCTCCACGTCATCCTCTTTGGGCCCGTGAGGTCTACCACCTGAGGAATCATACCCATTTGTATACCATCGAGCGAGACATTGTGTTGTCGCGCTACCTCATCGACACCCACCAGGATATCGTCGATCACCTGCATCATGTGGGGGGAGTGGGGCTTTGCCATTATCGTCCAACTCGTAAACTGGGCGTGTAGGAAATTGTCATTCTCCCAGGGCCAGTCAAATTCCAAGCCGACAACAAGATTTGCGGCTTCTCGATATTCTTTCAGCACCCATCGATGTATCGGTACTTCGTCGCATGAAACGTCTAAATCCATCCACATTCCACCCTCGGCCCACAGGATTAAGTATCTTAGTAGATCCGCTCTTAAGATCGGCACGTTGAGGGAGAAGTATGTCGTTATGATATCCGGTCGATCTGAGAACCATTTGTAGACGTATTTACTCGCCGCCTCATCGTCAAGTATTTCGTATTCGTATGAAGGGCTTAGCTCAAGACAATGATTTCTAAAGCTCTCAGCCTCGGTGGAAACACCTTGAGGTCCGACTTTGTACCATATCTTTTCGGGGAAAGCAGCAGCTGTAGGTGTTAATATAGGTGCGGAAGTAATTACTTGGGAGCCGGACGACTCGGTAGGTATCGGCCTTGTACTGCAGCTTTCATGATAAACAGAAGGGGCACTAGAGCTGAAGTCGATGAAATAGTCATATTTGACTATGATGAACAGAAAGACGAAAATAATAACAGTGAACAAAAGAGAGGTATGGGAATGGAAAGAAGTTTGGCGTAACATGGCGGAAAACTGAGAATGTGAAAGGAGCTAAGCGAATGTTGTGTGATAAATCCAAGTGAAGGAAACACAAGCATATGACGGTGATAGAAGACATATATTATATTCCCAAGTTTTAAGGGGTTCTGGTGTACCATGCTTGTTACCGCCCCTACCGAGCCCCCAACAACTGCGTCGGTTGGTATGACCTCGGGGGTTGTGAGATTCATGATCAGCAATAGGGATGACACTAACAGTTGCATTGTTGATGCTATTCTAGGAGACTGTGGCTGGGGGGGGTCTATACACTGAATAAGCGCTATATCGAGACCGATAAGAGGCATCGTGAAATAACCCTCAAATAGAATGGAGGATGATTATGTAGGATTTCGTATGATGTATGTGACCCATTTTCTTGAGAGATGAAGTAACAGGGATTCAATTTATCCGCAGAATCTACAAATATCTATCTCGCAACAACATTTTCTTCCTGAAACACATAGCCAACAATTGGCCTGTTTGCCAGATACAATTAGTGCCGGGGTGCCCAGAAGAAGTCGAACATCAAAATTGTACACTTTAATCGGATTTTTGTATCAAAACAACAAAATGACGTTTTTCCTTTGAAAATTTGCAACGATAATTCCACTACGGCAATATTATTATTGTTCTTCGATTCGAAAGAGTTCAAGATTTCACAATCTGCTTCTTTTCAATCGTAAAGGAAAGTGTATTTCTAAGCTTTTCTCATTCTAACAGACCGTTGCGAGGGGCCGCAGACTTCGGTACCAAAGTGTCGGGATCCAATGACCGGTTAAATTCAGATAATTGGCTCAGCCGAATCTAACAGCGTAGTACTCTGTGCGGATTCCCCTTTCAGGAAAATCACCCCCACCATCCTGGAAATTACAACCGCTCTCTCGTAGACAGTACATGGAGGTGAAAATGTCGACTTGCCCGAATTATGGATGGGCGCTTATGCGGGGGTTTCTATGTGTGACTTGATTAGTGTGTTCATCATAGTGGTATTACCGGGGCTAATGCAATGTGTGCCGGTCGGTCAAGCACGATAGACGCAGTTTTCTTCATGCAGGGTGAACTTTGTTTATCTCTTCCGGCGTGGATCTGAAGCTAATTGCCAATTGTCTTTCGATTTGTTGATAGTCGCAGGGTAGTTCTCTCTTTTCTGGTTCTTTTTTCTGGTTTTTAATTTTTGAAAGGATCTATCCGTACACTGGTCTGACGACGCTTAGAAGGTATCGGCTTTTACATGGCTTCTTTGTGCTGCAATATCTCCTGGGCATCATCCATACATTCATTCTTTAATTTCGTATTTCTCTCACTGCTATGACTGAAGGCATACCTATTTTCACTTCTTCCTTAGCTGACATACGACGTGGGACTTATCGGCGTGGTGGGGCGAAGCTGTTACTTATTAGCAGGCTCACCCACCCCTTATCAGATTCTTACATACACGCCCCCAACGACCATCAACAGGAAGATAGGTTGCCACAGTACAGTGATCTTATGTGGACTGACATCCTGTAATTACGCTAGATCCCTGCCATATGCACCTCAGTTCTCAAAAGGAGACTTTCCTCTCGTATCTTATCGTTTGTTTCCGAATATCTTGAAAGAACATTACTTTCATCACGGAGGTTCAATAGTGGAGTGTTCTTTCTATTCGTTGCTGAAGCTCCAGAATGGAGAGGGCTTGCTTTCTAAACATTGTTTCCCTCGGCAATTGTGATTCTTCAAGCACAACTACCATACAACCCTCATATCTTGCATGAATCCCAGAACATCGAGCAATTTCTGATCAAAGGATTACTGACCATTCCATTCCCATCACAACACCAATCATCAACGTCCTCACTAATATTCTCTCAATCTAGACAGAGGATTACGATCATGACGAGTCGGGGGACGCTCCATCGTTGTTCCTCGACGCATCGGGATAGGAGCTCTCCCCGTGAGCACAGGCTTCACCCAATCCCGATCGCAGAATTTTCCACAGCGATGCCTCTCAAAGAAAGATTTGATTCCGTCGTATCCCAAATCCGCGGGTCCGCAATCGTGTGCTTGGGACATGATGACTGGGTCTGAGAGAATGCTAATTGGAGTGTTAGGAGATTTTCATAACCATTGATATAGTTTTCACCGAGGCAGCCGAGCAAGGGGAAAACATCATCGTATGGGGGAAACAGCACTTACTACCCATCACTATACAAACCCCCCTGCAATCACACAACAAAAACCTTCTCCGGAATCATGATAGGAAAGTGACTCAACGCCTGCATCGCCTCATTCCACACATTATCCCTTCCCGTCCACCCGGTATACTATTAAACTTTTCAAAATTCTCAATCATGGGCTCCACCAAACTTAGGTGTCCCGCTTTCCGCCCCGGACCATCCTTAAACCTCCAGATCGCAGGCCTATTGACGATGATTTCTCGTCCGGGAAGAAACCCCGCCGTCTGGAAATTATCGACGATTTCCTGCGTGCGGCGCATGATCTCTAGCTCTTCGGAGAAATAGTGTTCTTCGTATACCGAGCCGCTTTTGAATTCTTTGGATACGCAGGCTTGCCCTTTGCGGTCGCCTGAGGTGTAGTGGCCTGCCTGGTAGAAGGTTAGCATTGAGATTCGAAAGGAAAGTAGCAGGATGATGATTACGTACCCAAACGTTTTTAAATGTCCCCGATGCAAATATTGAAGATGTAACGATATCGGCTGTCGTCGATTTGTTGGGCGTCGATGCGACATGTTGAGTTTTTGATCCTGCAATACGATTTCTGTGTAGATACAATACAGCCTTGGAGAAATGTTCGAGGATTGATAACTCGAGGAATCGTGCTTGTCTTTGCGATCTAGGACGAGATACCCGGCTGATACGAGTAGTTTTATCTACAAATTGTTCGTACGACTCGAAAGTTCTATGTTTCTGGTTTCATCCGCCATCGCCTAGGCGACTACTGAGGCCAAACGACTTGTTTGCTTGATTTTATTGCTTCTTTCAATCTCCCATGTTTCAAATCCGAGTTCATTTACTAGTATGTTTCAATTGATACGTCAATATATAAGTGAACATGCTCGTAAATGACATAGCATTATTCCACAGCCTAGTTTCGCTTCTTAACTGTTTACGCTATTGATTTGTTTCTCAAAGTTTCTTTCTTCAAGTCACCCTCTTTTTAGTTCACTCTTCCAGAATCTCGCTCGTTCTCCTCGCTACCCATCAGCCACCTAGTGACTGTGACCCCTCTGCTACACGATAATGGTAAATAGATGGAACTTAATTGAAATAGATAATCCTCTATCCTCATTATACTATGTGGAACTATGAGAACATCTTCATTCACACCCCATAATATAGAACAGAAACAAGACAAAGTGAAGAGAAATGGTAATAGATAAGAGAAGGAATAATAATACAATTAGTAGAACCTGTACAATAGCAAGAGCCTAATAATCTTGAGGCTAGATGGAAAAGAAAGGGAAAAGAGAAGTAACAAAAAAAGAATGAGCAAAAAAAGGTGAGATTAATAGAACACCAGGTGGAAAAGAGCAGACACAACAGTGGTTAGCGAAAGATGAGAAAGACAAGATGGAAAGATGTTATGTATTTAAATCCGTCAAGTGCTAAGTGTACTGATTTACTCAAACCAAATTTAACCTGATATGATTGTTTGTGATAAAATAGATGAAGGGTTTAAAGTGACATCATGTCATCTCACATGTCACTCACATCAAACATGAAGCACTGCAAGACAGAATATCTGAATATAGCCGCATTCGCACCTATACTACAAGAAATCTCCATCTTCATCCACAACTCTTCCCCTTCCTAAAGAAAGTAACAAAACTGGAAAGAGACATTCAATTCGCTTTCCTAATGCATAGCGCAATGTTATGAAGATAATTATGGAATTCTCCTACCCGTTCCTCATCACCGAACGCCCGCTCCTACTCCACCTTCCTCCCCTAGTTTCTCATCAGAAACCCATCCCATGAAGAGCATTTCGCGTCCCATTACGTTATGAATATAAATAATCTTACAAAAGCTTTATCCCACCTGGTTCCTGAATGCCAAAAGCGCTCCTTCCAAATGTACAATCCTGCAAGCGACTTTTTGTGAACTTTCTCATCCCTACTATGTGGGAGGCATAGTGGAAGCGGTCTAGTTGCTCGAAGCGGCAACTTCCTGGGTTTTAGGTATGGCAGATGGCGGTGGTATATCCGGGGGTGCCATCATTACTCGCTTTGGGTCTCTTTCAGAACAGGCTTCACTTTCTGCAGTTCTTTTCTTCTCCTTTTCCTTTTGGGCCGCCCTTCGTGCCTCTTTATCCTTGCGTTCATTTTCTTTACGTAACGCCTTAGATTCGAATTCATGCCAATCGCCTTTGAGTTCTTTGAGTCTATTTCATGGTGTTAGCTAATGCTCACCTGTAAAAGGAGGTTGTAAGCAAGGATATAACATACTCGATAGCCTGCCTTGCAGTTGGCTCTTCCGTCGTGAAATATGGATGCTCAAGAACATCAGAAGCAGAGGGTCGCTTAGCAGGGTCATATTGAAACATGGCATCTAGGAGTTCAAACGCGGCTGGTGTAACGCGTTCCTTGTATTTTTCTGCAAAGACATTGGATCGTTTAGCAGAAGGTCTAAGAAGTTCGAACCATGCCATGTCTACTAAGCCAGGCCAATCATTTCGATTCGGCGTTCCGAGCACAGCATAAATTTTCTCCAGTTGACTAATTTCACCACCGTCTCCAGGAAAAATTGCGTGGCGAGTGAAAATCTCAACCAAGACACAGGCTGCGCTCCAAATATCCACTGCAGGACCATATTGTGTCTCTCCAAGGAGAAGTTCTGGTGAACGATACCAGATGGTGATAACACGATTGGTATAGTCCAGCTGTCTTCGCTTTGCGTAAAATCGAGCCAGTCCAAAGTCTGCTAATTTCAGTTGACCTTCATCACTAACAAGGATATTTGCTGCTTTTATATCCCGGTGTAAAACACCTCGTCGATGGAGGTAATCAAGACCCTCGAAAAGCTGCTTAGCAAGGTGCTTTTTGTGAGCTGCGTCTAACTTAAAGGATGGGTGGTTGAGCAAGCCCGTAAGATCGTGTGATAGATACTCGAAAACCATAAAGCAATCGTTCTTCTCCACCATTACCTCTTGTAGGGTGACGATGTTTGGGTGGTTCAAGGATTGTAGCAATTTTATTTCTCGAACAGCAGTCACAGGAAACCCGTCGCGTTCTCCTTCCATGCGTATCTTCTTCAGAGCGACCAACTTCTTGGTGTAGACATGGATAGCTTTGAACACTTTACCATAAGTTCCAGATCCTACCACAGATTCATTACCAGGTTTTCGATAGTACACGGAATCCGATGCCTTATATTCGGGTAATAACTGTGGCTTTGGCTTCAAACGTTGCATAATCTTCTTGACCTTACGCGTAACAGGAGGCGGTGGTTCGCGGAATGCGTGTTGTGCTCTTGCAGATGCTGGCTCTGTAGGAATGTTCCGTGTCGCGGCAGGGCCACGAGGGCTATTTTGCATCTCTCGCTTGGTTGGTACAGCGTTTAGCTTTTGAGAGATTTCTGGCTTCGGAGTAGTTGCCGCTTTAGCTGGACCTTTGAAAGCAAAACTAAACTTTGAGGAGTTCTGTTGACTTTGAGGCCCTGTTGGTGGTGGTCGACTAGGAGGGGGCATTTGTTCATCATTCTTTTTGCTAGTATCCTCAGCCTGAAGGTCTTTTGAGGGTCTAAATAAGTCTTCGCTTTCGTCCACCTGATTCTGCATAGGTATTGCACCCGAATCAAACGAATTCTGCTGTGGGAACTGTTGTTGCGGTGACATTTGCTGAGGTGTAACATTACCAGAATTGGTGAACTGGGCGCGATTGGCGCCGGAGGGACCAGAAGGAGGATTCCATTGAGAATTGAACTGGTTTCCACGACTACCTCGGGGGTTGAAATTGTTCGCTCTAAAATTCCGTTGGTTGCCTCTAAAGTTATTGTTCATTGGCCCCGTAGGAGGACCTTGATGAGAAGGAGATTGGGCTTGGTTGCCATACATTTGGTTTTGTGGGCCAGTAGGAGTAGCATATCCCGGTTGTTGCTGGTAATTCTGTTGAAATTGCCTGCAAGTCTCGTCAGATTTGAAAAATATTAGTCCTAGCATAATGAAAACTTACGACAGAGGGCGAAAACTGTTGTTGCTGTGAGCCATTCCAATTTCCCCGCCCAGAAGAATAAGGTGATTGTGCCTGAGGTGAACCATGATATGAATTTGGGGTCATTTGATGTTGTGGAGATTGTGAAAATTGTCGTGGGTCTGCTTGAGGCCCTTGAGGAACTTGGTTGAATTGTGGTTTCAAAGGAAATGCAGCCTGCATTTGTTGGTTTGGATTGTACCCTTGCTGATTACCATAGAATCCTCTGTTAGCCATCTTATCCGATTTGACCTCAATGCTATTCGCTCCTGAAGCTGCCGATGTAGGTCGACCTCGAGATTTATTATTAGGGCGATATTCGTCTCGTGAGGGCCGGCCCTTTTCTCGCTTTGGGGACCGTCTCCGATTTCCCTTTGGCCCTTTCGGTGCACGAGGAGATTGTCGACGACCGCGATTTTTATGTTCGTATGTATCTGCCTCTGGCGATCGACGGCTCGAGTATGGGGAAGGATCTCGCTTCCTTTCCTTATTTTCAGATAGATTTGGTGCTGAATTTCCTCCGTCCTTTCGTTCTTGCTCGACAATTTTGTTGGGAGATGGATTACGGTTCGTTGGTGGATCGTCGTAGTCCAAGGCTGATGAAGGACGAGACTTTTCAAATTTATCACGGTTTTGGCCAGGAGATCGCCCACGCTTATCGTTTTTTCCAAAATCTCTACGATTTCTTGAATTTCCTTCCTCGCGTTGATTATTTCTGTTCGGTTCTGATTGTCGATGTCGATGTTGTGATGTAGACCGGTTTCGTCGCTTCCTATCTCGCCGGGACCCTTTCGTAGCTCCGTTGTGCCGTACTGGACTGCGAGAATTCCTTCGAATTTTCTTTTGTTGGTTGCGACTCGGCGATGGGCTGCGACTCTTTCTTCGTTTTAATTGTTGAGGGGAACGGGCTGTATTTCCTTTTACTATTTCTGTGCCTCGCGATTCCAATAGTAGTTCCCTGCCTTGATTGCGCTTCACTACGTCTTCTTGTGTATCTTTTGATGGCCGGGGAGACGATGGCCTTCTGCGCTCTGGACTACGATCTGGCTTTTCAGTTTCTTGTGTTGGCCTGGATCTATCAGTACTGCGATCTCTGGTATTGGGTGTCCTGTCGGCGTCCGGTCGACGTGACGTGGGAGACCTTGATCTTCTCGACCTTCTTTCAATAACTCCTCGGTCGACTCTACCTCTATCTCTGCGATCGTCACCGGGGCTCCAGCTGTCTTTCATCTCGAGCGCGATCGCATCTCGAGCAGGCGGGTGTTCTTTTGGTTGTGGAGTTGAAGGCATAATTGAGGGAATGTCGATGATTTTGCTAAAGTGGCGCGCTTCTTTAGGCTTAGCGAGAATTGAGTCGATGGATTGGCATTAAACCATACAATGCGACACAAAAAGACTTTCAGAGAGAAAAGTTGAGTTGAATTGAATAATGAGATGATTTTAAATGAAAATAATGATGAGAATCTTGAAACAATTGAAAAGTATAAGACGACGAGAAAATAAAAAATTGGGAGGGATTTTGGTGTTACATTACCTAGGTATCTGATTGTATGACTTGCCTATTTGTTGTGGTGGTGGTAGTGGTGGTGGTGGATAGCTAAGTGCAGAATTGAGTCGAGTCTGGTAATGGTGTTCCTAACCCACACCGTATCAACGGAACTCCATAATCCGTAGAGGTGCAGAATAACAACTGTCGTAGCAAGAACACTGCACACTCGTTGTTCTGTAGAGTTGAAAGATTTGAAAGAATCGTCCGATTCCGACACCGAGTGAGCAGAGCAGATTACCGAGCCTTGTGTCCTTCCTTCCGAGTTCCATGCATCGGTATCCAGACCGCGTTTACAATTTCGAAGTCACGTAATGTATGCAAAGTTCTATCTACAATGCGTGTGATACGCAAATATAACAAGGGAAAGTAAAGGAAATTATCGTCAATATGGCTTTGCCAATATAGAGTCTGCCTCTGCAAGAGCTGCACAAGGCGGCTCAAGGGAGTCTAACCCTCGAATATTTCCCAGCAATGTGTGCAGACCACGTCCTCAGTGGAATTAGGAGCTAACTCCCTCGAAACCTTTCTGCGAAGATCGACAGCCCAGTAGTCGAATGGTAGACGGTAATCTGGGAGCACTTCGCTGTTGTTTGGTTGTGGAGTTCTTGGATTCTTGTATTATTCTGCAGGATCGTTCTAGTATTGATTGTGAATGATGATAACATCTATCAGAAGTGACTGGGACCCCAAGCATCTTCATAGAATCATGGATTGAGGTCGCTGTTGGGGCAGCAGTCAAAGGTTAGAGCTTTGTGAGAAGACTCAGTTTTTGGGCAAGAATAACGAGTGCTTCAATTCATCCAGAACAACCGCCATGTCAAATATCCAATATGTGTAGACCAGTTCTTGTTTTGAATCAAAAGATCCAACCGGCATAGGACCATAAGAAGACCTAATCATAAGCCAGGGAGGCATTTAACGTACGACATGTGCCAACTTCAGCCTTGTTAAAATAACAACCACTATTTGACATCTTGCAGATGTCAATAGTGCTGGTATCGGGATCTGCGTGTAGAGAATTCGTTCAAGTATATCAAGGACTCATTAGGTATGGCATATTCACAAATAATCCTGTGGTCTGCCCATGCCGATAAATATCAGCCACTTCCATCAATCCGCAGGTTCAACTATTAGTGAGGGGTGAAAGCAACCTTCAGCCTTCCAAGCTAATCGCACGAACAATAACTGAAGCCATCGCATAGAAAACTATCGTCGCAATTTTGAAAGAAGTATCGGCATACGCAGGGGCATGTAGGTAGATGATAGATACTGGATGCCGCGGTATACAAAATCACATACCACCATAGATGTTGCTTATTGTCGATTCCAAGATAGTGTGTGTGTGCTGTGACTACCTAGTAATATTGTCAATGGCATAAGTTGCATTTAAAGTTCAGCCGGTTGAGGTGAACAGAAATATATCGAAGGATCTAGGGGGGCAATCGTCTCGAAATATGCCTGTTGCGATGTCGATGCGGTGGCATGTGCGATTGTTGAGAAGCGGCGAAATCTTGAAGAAAAACTGTACCGTTACCTTGCATAACCTTGATTATTTTCTCATTTCTCCTGAAACCCGTCGTCTTGCGGCATGTTATCGCGAATAATCATATTTGTATGGACCTTGTAGTCTTTTTTGTAAAATGGTAAGGATAGGTAGTATGTTGATTGTTCAAAGTTTACTCGTTTGAGAGCAAGGCTTCTACTCGTTTGGCTCTTGATTACATAATCTGATTGATGCTCAAATATTCGCGGTCGTGCTAACGTATTCGACAGAAATGCAATACCTATGTTCCAGCAACTCCATCTGCAACTTCTGGCCGCAACTTCTGATCTTCTATTGTTGAACAATCAAGGCTGATTGCATTAATTGATCAAGTTGATTTGTAGATATATAACGAAAAGTTCTAGTCTTACTCTGGCAAGGACGGAAGCAGACCATATGTGAATGCGAGTGTGAGATGCCATCTACATACCTAGATCAGAATTTCAATCTCTGTCTTGTTTCAAGCATTAAACTGCCGACAATGAACGGAATCAGTAAGATAGACAAATTTGATTCAACCTTGCTATCTGCAACAGAAATCAGACTGCTTTCAAAGTAGGCTCGAGTGAGCTGCAACAACCTAGAAGTAGGCTTTACCTGCTTGAGATTCTCTTGTACAACTTTCACCGGTAAATGAGTGGCTAGTCACATATCGGAGGCGGCTATGCAGAAACTGCACTGTTTGTTGGATCGTTACACCAAGCCTGGTCTATCTCCCCATTTTCTATTACTATCCACGGTCGCAGTTTCAGCTCACTTCATTTACTATGAAATTTGACACGAACTCTTTCATTTCTAAGAACGGGTAAAACTTCTCTATCTATATTTGCATGACCCCGAGACTCACTATACATTATGGAGGTACTTGCTGGAGTATCGAGCGTGCTCTCGGTTCTTGGTTTTGCCATCCAGCTTGCAGACGGTATCAAGAAAGCTTGTGCACTCTGGGAATCTCTCCAAGAAGCCCCTCATGAGGTTCAAATGATATGCAAAGATTTGCGCGCTATATCAAACGTTCTTGACGATATAAAGTTAGAGGAGAACCAGTTCATGCATCACTCTAACTCGATAAGTGAGGCTCTAGGGCTTTGCTCCGAAGTTCTTGAATCTCTCAATCACCTAAGTCAAAAGATCGTATTCCCAAATACCGATACTACCTTGTTGATCAAGAGATGGCGCGCTATGAAGGGAGTCATAAAGATAGAGAAGCTACAAGGGTTACAGTCGAGATTGAACAGCGCGAAACTGACCTTGGTCCTGGCTCGTCAGAACTCTTCTCAGTTAGTACCTCCTCGATTGCGTGTTTGGAAGTTCCTGACATATCTAGACTTCTGTCCATGCAAACTTATAAATCTCAACAGCAGCTCATGTCTATGTTGGATGGCATTAAGCTTGATCTGCAGGAACTGGCCTCGAAAACTGTTGAAATCATATCAAGAGATCCGCCAGACAGCAACGTAAACTTCGATGCACTAAAAGTGGAAGCTCGAGCTCTTGCATGCAATATCAAGAATCCTGTAATGAGGCTCGGCTTTGAGAGAGCTATAGATTTAGCATATTCTACATTGTCAAACCCCACCGAGAGAAGCCTACGGAGAAAGTCTCTTTCTCTGCACAGTGGAAAGCACAGCATCTCTATCATTAACACACCTTTTGGAACAAATAATATCTACATCACCACTTTATCGTTCTCAGACGGCACTTATAAGTCGTGCACCAAGTTGATCATGCATCCCTCTCGTTTGCTACAACTATGCGGTGTCAGCCTCGGGGTCAGAGTTGCTCTTTCGAAGTCGTGTGGGACCTTCAAATCTGAATTAAAAGCATACAGAGCTGTGCCAGACGATTCGACAATTTTCAGACTCTGTAAAGATGGACGCTGATGTCTCTTTGATGAAGGTCTTGCTTCTCCGCGTGATACTGATTCATATGGTAGAACACCTTTGATCGTACGTCTTTCTTACCTCCATGCTTAAATAAATTTTTTCCATGGACGATTAGAGCTGGTCGGCCATCTACATAGACTTAATTAACGGCGCCACTCCTTGCTGGATTATCTAGGAAACAGCTTCGGGCGGCCTATCGTATCTCATACTAATGTAATCTCTAAATAGCAGCATCTTCTGGGCGATTATCAACTTGTAAATTTCTCGTCGATGAAGGGGCTGATTTGGAAGTGCGGGATATACAAGACAAGTAAATTGCATGGTTTTCCAAGAGTTGTTATTGAGAGTTTGGGTCGATCATATGTCTGACATGTAATGATAGTGATCTTGGGTCATACGTATGTGGAACGTGGTCTTTCGGTTATGGCAATAGCAGAGTTCCCTCAGGCTTCTCAGATAGTGATAATCGGGTCTTTGTGCCTGGCGATATTTGCATAGAAGTCCTCCGAATGTTTCTCGATCAGTTCGAAGTCAGCGAAGATGAGAATTCCTCTGGGGTAATAGGATTGCGTCGACTCGCAAGCCGCACGGATTTAGTAGCTAATCGTCGGTGCTTGGCCAACCGAAAACTTTTCTATTGGACTGCTTCAATGCTTCAAGATCAGTTGATTCTCACTTCCAATTTATGGGACTATTTTCTATATACCTTGATTTCTGCAATGGAGCTCGAGGATATAGATATGATTGATCATCTCTTCCGTTCTTGTCCTCATGATATAACAGAAGATTGGGCCGCGCCAGCTATAGGGCGTTGTCTCGTGAAGAAGCTCAGAGAATCCGATCAAACACATCTTATTAGATGCATGATGAGTTACGGTATGGATCTTCATAGCTCTTCAGCAATGCTGCTTGCTACCATCACTCATTATCCCGAAGCAGAGCACCAGGGCACAATAACGACACTTCTCTTACAGTCATCAGCAGCATTCTTCCGGTTAAAGGCCACTTTGCAACATTTGGGCATAGATATAGCTAAATTCGTATACGATGAGATACAGCAGGGCCCCGTCATCGCCGCTGGTTGGTCTATGCAAAGTCTCCACGCGGTCTTCAATTTGGATTATGTACCTAATGAGTCCTTGCTGTATTTTCAGTGTCTGCATAAATGCATTTTTTTCCCTTTTAAGTATGGCAGAGAGTTTTCTTGGGAGATTCTATTGGACAAATCAAAAGTTGGAAGCGACTTCTCCAGCGGCGTCGAAGATATACTGCGTGAGCGAGAGGAAGGCGTTATTAAGTTTCAGAGTGTCGACGGACGCGTTTGTTCATGCTGTGGTAAGGTCGGGAGATCTTATGCCACTGTTGAGGAGCTAATCATCGAGGAGCGACGTATCAATTGGGATGAAATATACGCAGAGGAATATGAAGCAGAGGAGGAGGATTCAATGTTTCTCTTGTCTATCTGACGGTGTTATCTTCATGGCGAAAGAACTTTTTAGCCTGAACGGCATGTTGATTTGCAACAAGCACTGGGATGCACGAATTGTGCGTGGAGTTCAAGCGAATTGAGTTATTGAATTGTGTAGTTGGGGTCTATCCATATTTATAGTATGCGTCTTAAAGTAAAAACCTCGTTTAGTTCATTTCTTTCTATATTTTCCCGTCCTTTCTCCCCTCCTCATCTCCTCGTCTCTCTTTTATCACATCCAATATGTCAACACAGTCCTCGCTCTTCTATAAGTGCACAAAGTCACTCTTCACAGATATCATATCTAAACCCTAGTACCTAATTGAGAAACAAAATTAATCGATATTTGAGTGGTCTATCTCCTTTCAGATATTCCAAAAATCATTATCTGACATCTCAAATTCAACTCCAACTCGAGGTGAATCCAAACATCTGTCAGTTTTCTCCATTTTTACCAACTACGTCTTACTCCCAGGTAATTCCTCTCAGTCGATGACCTTACAGAAAAATCACAAGACCAAAAGGAAGTTCAATCGCACGATTACATGTAAGTACATCGCAGCTACCAAATTCCTTTACATCTCCCATCACGAAGAACCTCAATGATACTACCGCCAGTGAGTAGGTACATGAACTAACAGAACACCACTCATCTCAATTTCGAAAAATACAACGATTTTATCCTCCAATTCTTCAATCTCAGAATCTACTATTCATTACCCAATTTAGAATAAACCACACTCATAATCCTACCGTGTCCAAACCAACATTTATGGAGATATTGCAATTTGCTGATTATAAATCGATTTTTTCCATATCCCATCATTCGGTACGTACTACGTACACTGACTGATACACATACTAAAGAGACCTCGGGAATCAGAGATCGAATATAAAATACCAAACCAAATATCATATCCAAAACCCCGATACTCATACTCATACTCATACAAATTCAATCAAGCCCATTTTACCATTCCATTGTTTTTACCTCTTTAAAAACATTCATTCATTCATCCATCCAGAACCCAAGCAAAGGCCCAAGCAAAACTAACCCACAACCATCCCCCTCCCTCTAGACTCCCAAAATTCCCTCCCGCAATTCCCTCCCGCACCCTCGGACACCCCTCGGTACAAAATTCCAATCCTCCATCAAACATCCATCCATCTACCTAGGTAGATCTATCGTAGACCCCAAATCATTTCTATCTCTATTCCTTATCCAGCAATAACATCTCTCAATTCACATTTCCCATCCCATTTCCCATCACCAAATCGACCTACCATACTCACCTCGTACCTCGTACCATCTACCTACCATCTACCCAATACCCTCTTACCACATATTAACATCTCAAGTTCTCAACCAAATGAATACGTAAACAACAAGTGAATAAACATCAATAGATCAATCAACCAATAAAATCATACCTATCCTCTATCCTCTACCCTCTAGCCTCTCCCTCTAGCCTCTCCCTCTAGCCTCTCCCTCGTACCTATCTCGTATCTCTCGTACTAACTAACCCAGTTACCTAGACAATCCATCACCTAATCACCTACTAGGTACTGGTGTACGTACCTACGTAATTACCTACCTCTCGTAGACGATTGATTACCTAATCCCTCCCATCCTCCCCCCCCAAAAAACCATAGAAAATAAATATGGGAATCCTCCAAACATCCAAACATCCAAACATCCCAATTCCAAACCAACAACCAACAACCGATCAGAACTCCGAACTCAGAACTCAAGAACAATTCATAATCACAGCATCAAAGCATCAAAGCATCTTCCCTGCACACTCTTTCATCTCATTCGTCTCATTCATCCCACTCATCCCACTTTTCTACTCAGAATTCAGAACTGGTGGGGTAATTACTGCAGGTTAATTTGGTCGAGTTTCAAATTTCTGCGCATTGTTGTTTTATCTTGTTTTCATTTTTTAAATTTTTATCTTGATTTGAATTTCACATTACACACAGACACAGAGGGCACATACACAGAAAAATCATGTGATCAAAAGGATGAATGAATATTTAATTGTATCCAGATGCAAGAAGTGGATAGAGAGAAAGAAAGAAAGAAGTAAAAACATCCCCTCATCCACCATCTGAAAAAAACATAACTTTTAAAGTCGTGAGTGATATTTAAAGAAAAAGTCTACATAAAAAAGCGAGTGAATCGAATCGAAACACGAGCTGCTTCCCAAAAAGGAGAAGAAAATAAAAAGGGTTCCCAAAATGTAAAAAAAAAGGGTAATCCCACGCCAATACACCACAATCCAATTCCGAAAGCCGTCCATCCCACCGATCCAATCAGGAGGCCCGTTCCGTCCTGTCCGTCCGTCCGTGTATCCTTTTATATATCCTCGTGATAGAACCATCATAAATTTCGTATGCCACATCGCAGCACGCTTTGCGGCGCTGACGTACATTGTTTCTTTTCTTTTCGTATGTATCTATGTAATGTATGTGTTGGTGTGTGAGACCGGTCGGTATGTACATCTTCTTGCACCTTCTCGACTACCAAGACAAAGAATGAAACTTCAGAGAGTGAGGAATCTAAGCGGATCCTCCACCAGTGACGAACTCTTTGCCGACCTTGGCTCTGGTCTCACGCTTGGAGGTGGCGAGGTTACCGAGGAGGCAGACAAGTTCGTTGGAATCGGTGGCTTGGGTTTGGACGTCGTCGGGAAGGTTGTAGGCGTTGTCGCAAGGGAAGGATTGGCAGCCAGAGAGGGGAGTACCGGTGTTCAATGGGAACATCTCCTTAACACCATTGACATCATCTGGGTTGACGATAGCGGAAACATCAAAGTAGGTCATGCCTCCCCAGGAATCGAAGCAGACTTCACCAAGCATACCAGAAGTGTTGTCGGCGCCCTCAGAGACAGAGTACCAGTTGCCAATCCAGCCGGTAGGGAAGGTTTGGTTGGCGGTAGAATCGCCTGGGACAGTAAGGGAAGCGATTTCAGCACAGCCAGAGGTAGGAGTGAAGACCAAGGTACGGGTGGTGCCGTCTTGGTTGACAAAGTGCACGCTACCGGCGGAAACAATGGTAGCGAGAGCTGCGGAAACAGCAAGGATGGAAGTAGCGAATTGCATTTTGAGTGATGTGTTTGTGTAAACTTTCAACTTGGTAAGGATTGGTTGGGGTAAAGTAAGACTGGGCTTTACTTTAAGTTGGTCAATTTAAACTGGTTGCTTCTTTTGGCAATGAGAGTTTTGGATCGAATATATGGTCTGATATTGTCAAAGTCGTCAAGACTGAAAAGTTCTGGTGTCGTAGAGACAAGTTTTGCTGTTGAGCTGACTGTAGAAGCTGTGAAGTGACTGGAAAGTCAAGTGCGATCTCAGATCGAAATGTTTGAGTAACTTAAAGGAATGAGTGAACTCTTGTTGACAACGTCGTGGATGAAGAAAAGAAAGAAACACAAATGGAGGCACAGCGGATTATATAGACAGACGACCGAGTGTGAATTCAGGGGACACGACTCGAGTACCATGATTCAATCAGGAAAAACGCCAGCGCGGACATTTACGCTTTAGCTCAGGCTTGCTCAGCCCAAGCTACGGCAATTGTGGAGTCATGTCAGCCAGAAGTAGTTCAATCGGAACCGAATAAACAAAATGCATCCAGAACGTTTGCTTCTGCTCAGGGTGCATACTCCGTACACTTTCCACGTTCCGCTATTGGAGGCGGCCACGCCAGACAAAATTCGTAAACACGCCACCAAACCGCATGAGGAAGTTACTGGCATCTGAGACTCGGGAGAACTAGCCTTGGCGAGATTGAGAATTTTCCTTTGGTGGGAAGAATGGAGTCAATGGATTGATGCGACTACGCTTTGATTGGATCATTGGTGGTTTGTTCCTGAATCTTAACGGCAGCCGAAGCGTAGGGCATGCGGAGCGGAAACTCGAAAGTTTATTTGGTAGTCGTCTCTGTGTGGAGAATGTCTTTGTAATCCAAGCAGCCAATGAACTTTACGATATTTGTTTCCATGATTCATATCTGTAATAGCAACTCTTGATGCCAGTGATAGGATAAGTAAGGTATTCTAGACCCCAATTGCTTGGAACTTGAGTCATTTGTCAAATTATCCGTGTTTGTGCTTGGAAAATTGATTTTGTGAGAGTGTTTTCCTGCAGTGACCGGTCATGATATGAACGGCTGATTGATGTAAGTATCGATATATTACTTCTTGGAGTCGTTACCTCGCAATCAGAAAACCCAGCATATCGAAGCATTTGACCAAGGAGATGCCGTAACACAATGGCAATGGCACTGGGTAAATCACGGAATCGATATTGTTCCAACACCTCGGAGTCGTTGGAGATTTGGAGTGGGTAAACACTGTCACACGAAGAATAAACTATTGTCCCAATTGTTCTCGACCTTTGCAACCTGGTAACTTTGGAGGTCTTTCTGGACAGCATCATTACAAGGTCTACCTATATCTTGCAAAAGGGGGGGCCATTCGATAGCGGTGACGATATTCGCCTGATATTATCTAGGATGGCAGCGGAAGTGTGCGGTTAGCAAGGATGAGCCGTATCGAAAAGTCTGTTCACTGTTTCAATTATTATGGATGACTTTGAGCAGATTGGCTGACGAGAAGAGCTGCTGCAACATACGCATGTGTACTGCAGTACCTGCACATGTCGTGTAATATTCAGAAATCTAGTCCACTTCATGTGAGTTGCGAGTTCCTGACATCCTGTCCTCCCCGTCTCCCCATTATTAATTGCAATCGAATAATCACACCAATGCCGCAAAAACTCTCTACACATTAATTACGCCATAGGACAGCAATCCCTATGAGAGAAACACACCATGTGAGTATCCATAAGGGTTCGCTTGCCCTTGCAGTAGTCCCAGGAAACCCGCAAGGAATCGGACGCCCATGCATTTAGGCCTGCACCAGGGGCTGAGAGAAAATTCTAAAATTCGAGAAATCTCTTTTGTCTAATTGACAATCCATCTTCACGATGTTA